TCGGAAGAGTTACTAACTCGCAGAAATCATAGGGCTGCCAGCCGCAGCTTGAAAATATTGTATCGTATATGTCTACAGCATAAGTTCCCCCCCCCAATGCTCCCCAAAATTTCCCCGTTTTTCTATTGGACAAACTGAGTAAAGCCTCAGACCTTTTCCTTCTGTACGTCTGGAATGAACAAAATGCTTTATAACACAGGGTTTTTCTCACTCAAAAAGAAGAAATATGGCATAGGAGATTTTTTTCCCCCAGTGCTCCTCCGGAAAAATAGAAAAAGTCCTCAAACTTTTTCATGCTATACATCTTGAGTGTCAACAACTTTGCTTTAATTTATTTTATTTATTATTATATTAGGCTTTTATACTGCCCCCTCCTGCAGTTGATCGGTCCAGTTTTGTCCATGAGCATTTTACTCATTAAGAACATACGAAGAGCCAATGTTGGATCAGGCCAATGGCCCATCAAGTCCAACACTCTTGTCACACAGTGGCCAAAAATACCAGGGGCCATCAGGAGGTCCCGCAGTGGGGCCAGGACACTAGCAGCCCTCCCTCCCACTGTTGCCCCCCCCCAGGCACCAAGAAACAGAGCATCACTTGCCCCAGCATGAGAGTTCCTATCTATACCTTGTGGCTAATAGCCACCGATGGAACTCTGCTCCAGATGCTTATCTAATTCCCTCTTGAAGCCATCCATGCTTGTAGCTGCCGCCACCTCCTGTGGCAGTGAATTCTAGGTGTTAATCACTCTTTGGGTGAAGAAGCATTTCCTTTTATCTGTTTTCACCCGACTGCTCAGCAATTTCACTGCGTGCCCACGAGTTCTTGTATTGTGAACATTCTAAAAGAAGAACTATCTAATCTGCATCTTCCCCCAATTTTTCCATTGGAAAAAAACTGAAAAAAGACATCAGAAAAAAGGCAGAATTCTGAATTTTCCCATTTCCCCCCCCCCCGTGCCCTCACATCTCTAGAAGGCACCACAGACACTTATTTGTTTATGTATTTATTGCATTTATACCCTGTCTTTCTTCCCAACAGGGACCCAAAGCAGCTTACGTCATTTTCCTTGTCTCCATTTTTACCCTCACAACAACCCTGTGAAGTAGGTTTGGCTGAGACTGTGCGACTGAACTCGAACCTGGAACTTCCAGATCCTAGCCCGACATTCTAACCACTCTTTGGAAGAGTGATGGGGTAAAAATCAAAGAAGTAACATTGCTTAGGGATGTTGGCGCAACCAACAAGCTACTGGAAGATTGTATGAGTGTCAGCTACGGCGCTGAAGTCTTAACGATCCATGTGCTTGCCAGGAGGGGGCGCCAGAAAGGGAGGTAAACATCAGAATGTGAATTTAGCTCCTGCAAAGATATTGATCACTCATCAGCTCACCTGCCTGCCACGTGCAGCACATTTTATGGTGACCTCCAAAGGGCTAGTTTCCCCCCTCAGCCAAGAAACAAATTATGACAGCCCACTTTGCAGGACTGTTGTGAAACACAGATGCCAGAGAGGCCATAAGACACTCGCCAGACAAACTGTAGGTGTTCCATGCTGTAAAACTCAGGTGTGGGACGGAACTGGCTGGCGGAGTCCAACCTGACTTTTTCTGTGTTGTGGCAGCCAGGGCGCCAAAGGGCCAGGCTGGAGTACAACCCCGGTAGCCACTGTCATTTTGCCGGGCTAGCAAACCTGGGCTTGGAAAACCAGGCTGTGCCACACCTCTCTGTCACTCAACAAGTCGCTAGGCCTCAATAACATAGTCTCCGTCCTCCTTGAGAGCCAGTTTGGTGTAGTGGTGAAGAGTGCGGAGTCTAATCTGGGAGAACCAGGTTTGATTCCCCACTCCTCCACATGCAGCTGCCGCGGTGTGACCTTGGGTCAGTCACAAGTTCTCTCAGAGCTCTTCTCTCAAGAGCGGTCCTCGAAAGAGCTCTCTCAGCCCCACCTACCTCATAGGCTGTCTGTTGTGGGGAGGGGAAGGGAAAGGAGTTCGTAAGCCCATCTGAGACTCCTTTGGGTAGTGAAGGGCGGGGTATAAATCCAACCTCTTCTCCTCCACACACAGTTGCTGGCTGACCTTCGGCAAGCCATAGTTCTGTCAGAGCTGTCCTTGAAAAAGAGCAGTTTCTCACAGAGCTCTCTCAGCCCCACCTACCTCACAGGTTGTCTGTTGTGAGGAGGGGAAGGGAAAGGAGTTCGTCAGCCGCTCTGAGACTCTGAGTGAAGGGCAGGGTATAAATCCAGTCTCCTCCTCCTCCTCTTCTTCCTCTCCTCCATGTGACCCTGTGAAGTAGGTTAGGCTGAGAGTTTGCACCACACTGGCTCTACTCTATTCCCCCCCCCCCATTTCTGCAGCATCGAGCCAAGCCCCCCACCAAGACCACACGCCCCATTAAACCTGCAGACTAGAATTCTCTTCTGGGGGGGGGGGCATTGATGCTTTGCCTTTGAGGTCAGGGACACATTCCAGACATTCTGCTTCTGAAGAAATGTGCCTGCCCATGAAAGCTTATCCCTGGAATTAACCTTTGATGGTCTTAAAGGTGCCGCTGGACGCAAATTTTGTTCTGTTCCACAGGGACTGTAAGGGTAGCATCCTGCCCCACACCCTGTTCAATAGGTCACACCCTGTCTGAACATGCCCCAAAGTGAAGCTGGAATTCCTTCGTTCCAGCAGCCCTTCCCCCTCTTGAGAGCCGGGTTGCTGACTCTCCATTTCTGTGGATCGGACATCTTGTCTGCCTTTTGCCTGCTCCGCAATTGGTGTGTGTGTGTGGGGGGGGCTTATTTGCCTATCTTAAAACCTTTGGTTTGGTCGATGTCGGGAGATAAGCGAGGGGACAGCAAAGATAGCCCGTTTCTCGCCTTCCCCTGCTAGAGATTTGTCGTAAACGACGCCCTTTCGGAAAATGTATGCAAACTTGCTGACTTCTCCGAGTGGATTATTTGCTCGGCTGTCGAGGCCTGCCGTAACTGGTTTCTTGTCGCAAGGGCTGCCTCCCTAGCCCTGTGGATCTTTGGACTTCCAGGCGCTTCCTCTGGAGTGCCTTTCATTTAGATCATTTCGAGGCCCAAGAAGCGGCAAGCGGACTTTTGCTTCTGAATTCTGTCTTTTTAATTGGAGTTTTTCATTACAAAAAACAAATTATCCTCCCTTTGTAAACTGTATGGCCCATCACTCCTTGGCAAATAGAAGGGGAAGTCGTGGAAGTAGTGACAGACTTCACGTTCCTGGGATCCCAGATCACCGCAGACTGTGACAGCAGCCATGAAATTAAAAGACACCTGCTCCTTGGGAGGAAAGCGATGGCGAACCTAAACAGCATGATAAAAAGTAGAGACATCACCCTGCCAACAAAAGTCCGCATGGTCAAAGCAATGGTATTCCCAGTAGTCATGTATGGCTGCGAGAGTTGGACTATAAGGAAGGCCGAGCGCAGAAGAATAGATTCTTTTGAACTATGGTGCTGGAGAAGACTCTTGAGAGTCCCTTGGACTGCAAGAAGAACAAATCAGTCAATCCTAAAAGAAATCAACCCTGACTGTTCCCTGGAAGGCCAGATAATGAAACTGAAGCTAAAATACTTTGGCCACCAAATGAGAAGGGAGCACTCACTGGAAAAGACCCTGATGCTGGGAAAGATTGAAGGTCAAAGAAGACGGGGACGGCAAAGGATGAGATGGTTAGACAGTGTCAACCAGCAGCTGCATGTGGAGGAGTGGGGAATAAAACCCGGTTCTCCCAGATTAGAGTCCGCGCTCCTAACCACTACACCAAACTAGCTCTCAATGTGCCAGCCCAGTCTCAGAAGCCAGTTTGGTGCAGTGGTTAAGAGCGGCGGACTCTAATCTGGACAATTGGGTTTGATCCCCCACTCCTCCTCCACATGAAGGCAGCTGGGTGACCTTGGGTCAGTCACAGTTCTCTCAGAGCTCTCTCAGCCCCGCCTACCTCACAAGGTGTCTGTTGTGGGGAGGGGAAGGGTATGCCGCTCTGAGACTCCTTCGGGTAATGAAGGGCGGGATACAAAACCAACTCTTCTCCTCCTCCTCTTTGAAGCAAGGGCCAGCCCTGGTTAGTACTGGGATGGGAGTCCACCAAGGAAGTCCACGGTCACTATGCAGAGGCAGGCAATAGACAACCACCTCTGTTTGCCTCTTGCCTTGAAAACCCCACGAGGGGTCTCCGTAAGCCGACTGAGAAATTACAACATAAGAGAAGACAATGTTGAATCAGGCCGATGGTCCATCCAGTCCAACACTCTGTCACACGGTGGCCAAAAATATCAGGCGCTATCAGGAGGTCCAGCACTGGGGCCAGGACACTAGAAGCCCTCCCACTGTTTCCCCCTCCCCCCCAAGCACCAAGAATAGAGAACATCCCTTGCCCCAGACCGAGAGTTCCTATCTATACCTTGTGGCTAATAGCCACGGACGGACCCCTGGTCCATCTGCGGGTCAGTCACAGTTCTCTCAGAGCTCTCTCAGCCCCGCCTACCTCACAAGGTGTCTGTTGTGGGGAGGGGAAGGGTATGCCGCTCTGAGACTCCTTCGGGTAATGAAGGGCGGGATACAAAACCAACTCTTCTCCTCCTCCTCTTTGAAGCAAGGGCCAGCCCTGGTTAGTACTGGGATGGGAGTCCACCAAGGAAGTCTGCTCTATCCCAGGCATAATCTTATAAACCCCGATCATGTCACCCCTCAGTCGTCGTTTCTCCAAGCTAAAGAGCCCCAAGCATTTTAACCTATCTTCATAGGGAAAGTGTTCCAACCCTTTTATCATTCTAGTTGCCCTTTTCTGCACTTTCCCCCATGCTATAATACCCTTTTTGAGGTGTGGTGACCAGAACTGTACACAGTACTCCAAATGAGGTCGCACCATCGATGTATACAGGGGCGTTATGATACCGCTTTCCACCACCAGTCTGCTTTAAAGAATAGAGCGCTGAATATTTGGCATACCCTTTTATTCTCTTTTGCAATGACTCCTGGCCATACATGGATTGACAATTCCTTGGCGGCGGCGGGGGGAGGGGGGCAGAATCAGTCCAGCACAACAAGAGCGAGTTCGCTGCAGAACACTCGGGGGGAACCGGAAGAGGAGAGAGTCCCCGTCACTCCTGCCCGGCTGTTTTGGCCACCTCTTGATAAAAGCGGGAGGCCAGGCTCGGCTCCACCTCCTCCAGCTGCCTCACAAACTCGTTCCGCTCGGCCTCCGACCAGCCCCGGAACCACTGGTCCCACAAGCGCATCTGGCACTCAAAGATGGACGGCGGCTTCCCGGGCTCCATGCTGAGTCCCGCGAGCCCTTCCAGAAGAGGGAGCACCTTGCAGGGCACGGCCTTGTCCACCAGGTCATGGAGGAAGCGCTCCCGTTGGGCTGGGGCCCAGCCCGACAGCCAGTGGAGGAGGCAGCGGATCTCCTGCGTGGTCACGTACGACAGGGGCAGCGGCTCGGCCATCCTGCGGGAAGCAGTGGAGAAACATGGCAGGCGTCTGGAGAGAGGCAGGGAAGGGGGCTGAGCAAAAAGGGACCCGGCAGCCCGAATAACCCTGACCGGCCTGATCCTGGGAGCGAAGCTGGGTCGGCCACAGTTAGGGTTCGGATGGGAGACTGTCAAGGAAGTCCAGGGTCGCTATGTGGAGGAAGGCCCTGGCCAACGACTCCCGCTCCTCTTTTACCTTACGAGGGGTCACCAATATCAGTGTTCCCTCTAAGCTGAGTTAGTGTGAGCTAGCTCAGTTTTTTAGTCTTCAGCTCACAGATTTTTGTCTTAGCTCAGGAAGGGATGGCTCCAGAGCAATGTAATTTATGCAGTAGCCAAATCGTTCGCTCACAATTTTAATGCCAGTAGCTCACGAATTAGAATTTTTGCTCACAAGACTCCACAGCTTAGAGGGAACATTGGTCACCATATGTCAGTTGCGACTTCGCAGCTCAAGTGGTGCTTGCCAAATTCTGGAAAAATAACAAAAGGCCTACGATCTCTGACTGGGTCTTAAAACCACAAGGATTTTGTATAATGGATAAATTATCAGACTGTGATGCAAGGAGAAACAAGAGCCTCATAAGTCGAAATCTGTGAAAGTGTGGTTCCCAGTTTTAGCATAGGTAAAGGTTTCTCTTGCTCAAAAGCTAGTCGAATCCGAGTCTAGGGGGAGGTGCTCATCTCCTTTTCCATGCCGAACAGCCAGCGCTGTCCGAAGACATTTCCGTGGTCATGTGGCCGGCACGACTAAACACCAAGGTACACGGAATGCTGTAACCTTCCCACCGAAGTGGTACTTATATATCTACTTGCAATTTCTTGCTTTCAAACTGCTAGGTTGGCAGGAGCTGGGGCCAGAGACGGTAGGTCTCTGAGTGTCATCATGCGACACTCGGGTCTCGAACTGCTGAACTACCAACCTTCCAGCCTGCAGTTCAGTGTCTTAACCACTTGAGCCACCGCAGCCACCTAGCATCTAAAAAGGAACTCGGATCTATTCTAGAAGCTACTAATGCTATTCCGTTCTAGAAGCTATTAGAAGCTATTAATTCATCATCATCATACCTTTATTGGCATTGTAAAAATGGGAACATTAAACAAATACACAAATATTGCGAGTTAAAATATCCCAAGGTTACAGTATATCGCTTCGTACAAAAATGGCAACATATAAAAATTTTGCCACTGGATCAGTTATATTGTCACCAGTGTTGTTAGGTAGAAACAACAGTTTATATGCATTAGGAAAATCCATAATGATGGATAAGACTGAAGATAAAATACTTTGTCTGATATTGTTATAATAAGGACATTCTAACAACACACGGGACACTGTTTCAATGGATCCATTTAAACGGGGGCAATGTCCGTTAATAAGCGGCATACCCTGAAATCTTCCGGTTAAAATCGCTGACGGTAAAACCTGGCAAGAGAAAAAATTCTGCAGATTTTTGGGGTTTGTAATTGGTAAAAATAACTAGGGAGAAGTCCTAGCTATTAGAAGCTAATAAGATCTCTTATTCTACATATGTCTTTACTCCTTTCTTTCACTATTGTTAATAACCAGGTGTATTATCTCCTTATGTTTGATTGTTGTTTGATTGTTGTGTTTGCTTATTGTTTTTGGACTCTTCTGTATATGTATTTGAATATATACTTTAAGCTGTAACTACTGATTCTAAATGTTTATATTGTTTTTTTAAATTTTTTTACTTGTATTTATTGCGGTGGCTCAAGTGGTTAAGACGCTGAACTGCAGGCTGTGGAAGGTCAGTAGTTCAGCAGTTTGAGACCCGGGTGCCGCATGATGGAGTGAGCTCCCAAGTCAGATCCAATTTCTGTTCTTGTATTCCCCAGCATATGGAGAAAGAGGAAAGGAAGGCTACTTTCTTGTACTCCCGGGACTACTTATGTGAGAAAGCAGAAAATTTATGTGAGAAAAATGGTCACTTTTCTGCAAAAGGCAGGGAGGAAGATAAGCGTGTTTAGAACAGGATACAGTATGTGTGTGTGTGTGGGGTCTGTATCACTCCTGAGAGTAACCGGGCTTCAAATCTTGTATCTGCTAAGAGTAGAAATTGGAAAGAGCCGTACCTGGTACTTACTGCATAACTGAGTGAAAATCTGATTAAAATCAGCTGCCTTTTAACCACGGTAGGGGCAGAATCAGCAAAGAACTTGCTATAAGTAGTACTAAGCCTTTATGCAGCATTCCAAAGGATTATAATCAATGCCGCTAACACTGTTGTTTCTTCTTTATCTCGAGGCCTTTTAACTGCTCCCATTTTCCGGGTGTGTTTCTTACCATTAGTAGCAGTAGTAGCAGCAGATGTAGCCCCCCCCCCCCCCCAGATTTTCTGACAAAACCCTTCCACTTATCTCTCCTACAGTTGTTGTTATTAAAACAGTCAATACTACAATTCGTTAAAACCCCTATAATCAATGCTCCCTCTAAGCTGTGGAGTCTTATGAGCAAGAATTCTACTTTGTGAGCTCCTGGCATTAAAGTTGTGAGCGAGCGATTTGGCTACAGCATTAATTCGTTTGCTCTGGAGCCATCGTTCCTGAGCCAAGACAAAAAACTGTGAGCCAGAGGCTAAAAAACTGTGAGCTGGCTCACACTCACTCAGTTTAGATTGAAAACTGTTTATAATACACCAAAGAGACCTCTTACCTAGGACGGCAGGGCCAACCAGACTTTGGTGTAGTGGTTAAGTGAATGGACTCGAATCTGGGAGAACCGGGTTTGATTCCCCACTCCTCCACTTGCACCTGGCTGGGTGACCTTGGACAAGCCGTAGTTCTGACAAGAGCTGTCCTTGAAAAAGAGCAGTTTGTGTCAAGAGTTCTCTCAGCCCCACCGACCTCAGAGGGTGTCTGTCGTGGGGAGGGGAAGGGAAAGGGGTTTGTAAACCGCTCTGAGACACCTTTGGGTAGTGAAGGGCAGAGTATAAATCCAATCTCTTCTCTTCTTCTTTAAGTTAATGGGAGCCAGGTCTCAGCCGCCAGACTGTTTTGCAGCGCAGGGCTGCACCCGGAAAGTGCACATGAAGAACACCAGGTAGAATGTGCAGCGGTTTTTTTGGTGTGTGTGTATGGGTAACCACACACTTCGGGGGGGGGAGAGGTGAATTATGTTCAGCGCCATGTCTGGAAGGGGCAGGCGGGACTTCGGTGGTTGTTCCCTCCCCACCCGCCATATGTATGGGTAACCACAGCTGGCCCCACACACTTCGGGGGGGGGAGGTGAATTATGATCAGCGCCATGTCTGGAAGGGGCCGGCGGGATTTCGGTGGTTGTTCCCTCCCCACCCGCCATGCACGACCGACTAATTCCCGGCCAGCCGCGCCGTGCAAACGGGTGCCCGGTTCTCACCTGCGTCCGCTCCCGGCTCAGCGCGCGACTCCCGCGGTCGCTTCCATCTTCGTTAGGAACCTGACCAAAGGGGCGGGGCCGAAGGAGGAGAGACGGAAAAGGACGAGAAGGGCCGTAAATTCCCGAACTCGGCACGGGATGGCCGGCCCGTCCCTTCCGCCGAGGCGGAAACTGCCGAGTGCTTCCGTGCAGAAGTGAAACATTCCGGAGGTTACCGAGCCTCTTCCGGAACTTATTTCCGGGTTCGACTCTGCGGGGAGGGAAGAGCGACAGGCTCTTCGGGTGAACCGGAAACACCCGAAATAGGCCGGAAAGAATCGTCAAGGCGAGAGAAGGCGGCGGAGGGACGTCCCCCAATTGGAGGCGGGCGCCGAGCGGAAGTGTCCGAAAAGAAACGACTGTTGACGAAGCGCGGGCGGAGATCGACGAGCGCGCGCGAAAGGGGCGGCGGGGGCCACGCCGGAGGGCCGAAGCCGCCTCCGGAAGCTCCCGAACACCTCCGAAGCTCTGGGGAGGGCAGGCAGCGGCGCCACACAAGATGGCGGACGGGGAGGAGGTTACTCTGGACGGGAGACCGCTCCAGGCGCTGAGGGTCGCCGACCTGAAGGCGGCTTTGGAGCAGCGCGGCCTGGCTAAGAGCGGACAGAAGAGCGCGCTGATCAAGCGCCTTCGCGGGGTGAGGAAAAGGGCCCTGTGGGAGGGGGCCCCGGGGCCCGGCCCGCTCCGCGCATGCGCAGACCACCACACAGGGGGTTTTTTGGCCTCCGAGCGACGGGGCCCGTGGCCCCGGGGTGCAAAGGGGTGACACGCATGCGCGGGGCAGTATCCCACTACTGCCACCAAGGGGCCGGGTGGGAATTCGCGGTTGCATAAACGTCGGGGTTCCACCCGGGGCACGGCTTTGGAGTTGGCCCGGGGAAGCGAGGGGAAAGGAGGGTGGTCCTTTAAAAAGCAAAAGTTCCGGGGGGGACCATCGTGGTCAGATTGCGAGGATCCTGGTCGCCGATTTCGGGGTTGCGGGGATCTCAGTCCGTGCTGACAGGAGTTGGCGTGGGAAGTTCGCTTATTCGGGCGGCTCTGTGCAGGCCCCCCCCTTCGTCTCCTTTCCTGCTCTTTTTGCATCTCGTCTCTTGCCTTGCCCGCTGGGCTTTGCTCCGATTCGCTTTGCTCCGATCCACGTCGCTGCTTATCTGTTCGTCAAGGTCTCCTGCAGGATGTCACAGGCCGGTGGGAAGAGCAAAATAAGCTTTGCAAGAGGTTAAGTGCACTGTCAGAACCGGGCGTCTCCAGTCTGGATGGCCCTGCTCTTGAAAGTTTTTTCTGGCAAAGTGCTGTGGACGTACTCTCTCTCTCCACCCTCTCTTCGGAATAGAGAGATGTTTAGTTTTGCCTGAGTTCCCCCGGAGTCAGTTCAGAGCAGAGTTACACAAACGGAAGAACAGCAGCATGAAAGAATGCAGGTCTCTGCTCCTGCCCTCTCTATTTACGCTGTCGTTCTGTGTTTAGTATTTAATGCAGATGTGAGATAGGATCTGAACAAACGCAGCCGTTGTTGAATACGGTGGAGGAAGAGTGGAGGGCAGGGGCCTACTGTGGGGAATTTTAGACCTTATGGGAACTTTCCTTGTGGGCAGTGTTCCCTCTAAGCTGAGTTAGTGTGAGCTGGCTCACAGTTTTTAGCCTCGGGCTCACACATTTTTGTCTTCGCTCAGGAAGGATGGCTCCAGAGCAAGCTAATTTATGCAGTAGCCAAATTGCTCGCTCACAACTTTATTGCCAGTAGTTCACAAAGTTGAATTTTTACTCACAAGACCCCACAGCTTAGAGGGAACATTGCTTGTGGGTGAGGTGAAAGGGGGGTTGGTTTTGGTCCCGTAGTCCTTGAAGCAAGGGATGGATGCTGCCAGCTCTTAGTACCTTTTATGGGGACTTACTCCTTGTGTATGAGTGCAAGATATTGCCCTTTTCGGTCCTCACTGCCTTAGTAACTTGTGCCTTCTCATAGTAACACTTTGCGTTTTTGGCTCCGTCTCGGCATGTGCCTGGCAAATCCCGTAACTGCAGTAATCTGTCTAAACAACCTGTTAGGTTGGTCAGTATTCTTTCTAGCAGATTATTAGAAGGTGGTTGAATCTCAGACAGGGTGAGCTTTGCCTAAGCTCGTGTTTTGGGTTCACGGCCAAGGCGAGTTGCAAACTGAGGACTCGCGGTTACAGTGTGTCTCAGTGCCGCCACCAGGCATGTCACTCTCTAACGTGGGTTAACCTGTACGTGTGTGTGCATGTTATTTTATTTATTTATGCAAATTTTTATCCCGCCCTCCCGGCCTAGGCCGGCTCAGGGCGGCTTCCAAGCAGATAAAATCCCAGCAATACATACAAGCACATCAAGAGTTAAGATAAATACAATATTAAAATGCCATGTTGAAATCAAATATAATAATAAAGTCCTAGACTCTTTAACATCAACCACGTTGGTCTGCTCAGATGTCATAAGAAGTACTTCAGATGTCATAAATCGTCATAGATTGTAAGGGGGGATTGGCTCGGGCAGTAATTGAGGGTCCAGCAGGTAAGGGCTCTTCACCATAAGATGTTAATTGTTGTTGTTAGTAACAGAGGTGGTTGTGGTGGTAATAGCAGCGTTATCAGGGATGGGACCTGGCGATCCCCTGAAATTACAGCTCGTTTCTAAACTACAAAGATCACCTCCCATGGAGAAAATGGATGCTTCGGAGGGTGGGACTATGTGGCATCGTATCCCACTGAGCTCTCTGTCCTCCAGGCTCAGGCTCCAAAATCTCCAGGAGTTTCCCAACCTGGGGAAAAAAGCGGGGGGGGGGGACTCAACCCCAAATGAAGCTGCGATCTAAGAGGGTCAAGCTACAGGTAAATTAATATAAAAATATACAGACGTTTATTAGGGTGTACACATAAGTAAAACATAAAAAGTTGACTACTACGTTTGATGGAGGTGACACACATCTCGATGAATGGAATATTGGACACCAGAATAATTTGGTGAATTTGCAAGGCTACTATCCATGGCCCAGTATACAAACTTGCAGTAACTGTAAAGCATATAAGAAAACAACACCTTGTCACATATATATGTGTGTGTGTGTGTGTGTGTGTCATTGTAAAATAAGGAATACTGATCACTGAAGAAGGCCCGAAGGGGCTGAAACGTGTATGGTCCTTGGGTCAAATGTTTTATCCATCTATTGGATATGTATAACAATTAGTTCTGAATGAAATATGTTGAGTCTGATATTTAGACTTTTTCTTTTAACCTTTTAATGTTTTATTTATGTGTACACCCTAATAAACGTTTGTATATTTTTTCATATTAAGTTACCTGTAGCTTGACCCTCTTAGATCGCAGTTTCACAACCTGGATCCGACAACCCTGCCCCCTCATCCCCTGCTGCACTTTAGAGCAGGTGAGATGGGATTAAGCATCCTTCTTTGTCTTACATGCATCTTTCTGTCCCCTTCAGTAAGTAGATTCCGACTGGGTGAGGGTTGGGTCTTGAGTATTGCCCTGGAAAATGCCAGGGAGCAACCACAACCAGCCCAACATACTTGGGATTAGACTTCCAGGTCGGTTCTCTTGTTGGAAGGAACCGCTGGGGATATTAAGTGTGGCTCGTGAAACGGTACTTGTGCTATGTAAATGGTAACTTAACAAGACAATGGTGTATGTCTGTAATCACTAGTAAATGTAGTTTTCGCTCTGGGAGTTCAGAGAGATTCCTCGCTGCTCCTGCCTATTTCTTCTCTACCATCCAAATCGGTTTGAGTTACGGGAAGAAGGAAACTTCCCTTATTCCAAGGCATCCTTTCTGTCTGCTGGCCTTCTGGTCATTTTTTATGAGGCAGGCTTCCTGTCCTAGGCTTGAAGGATGTCAAGATATCTCTTTGTAAGATGCTTTCGAGTAACCTGGCTTCACAGGCATTAAATTGCAGCCTTTGTACCCGGAGGGGTGGTTGAGTTGCATCTGACCAGAGAGTTCTTTTGAGGGAAACAGGGTTGTTTTGGGGGTGGAAGCAATTTTAGCTCTTTTGCTTGCTGGGCTGGATTGGCTCTGGGTAAGGACCTGCACTGGTGATTTTACATTAAATTAAATGTGACTGTCAGTAGACCAAATAGTAATTTGGTTCTGGAGATTAGGATCTCTGTGTGAGCTCAAACCAGATGCTGTGTCTTGGCTCCTGTTCTGCATCTTTCAAAGGCCACTGTGATCATGACTTGCCTTAAAAGATGACACTCTTTTGCAAATCCGAACCGATGAGGAGTTGCGGAGGCGTCTTCTGTGATGCATTTGACAAGCCCCACCCCCACCCCGTGAGGGGTTGCCTCATTTGAGTGCACGATGGTTGATGTCAGCTGGCTGATTCATTGGTATCTTTATTGGGGGCCAGAATTGAGTTTCCCTTGAAGATCAGGAGGGAGCTGGGGTTTGAGAAGGCTGATCTGGAGCCCAAGTTCCAACGGAACGGCAGGCATAATTCTGACATGAAAAAAGCGAAGTACAGGGAGAAGATTGGTCTTTCTAGTTGGGTTGGATCGAGGGCACCAGATTGGGTGGTTAAATGAGAGCGATGCTGAGCAGAAGAGACGCAAAAGACGTAAAGCAGCGACTTGTGATGGGCTGTTGCATAATAGTGGAATGGCAGGTGGTGATAACGTGGAGACTGACTTTCAGAAGCAGGAGAATTAGTTCTTCAGTGAGTCTGAAGAGTAGGGCACAGTATGTTGGGATGGTGGTGGAAGGTGGTGCCTTCAGGTCATAGCGGACTTATGGTGACCCTGTAGGGCTGGGGTGTCAAACATGTGGCCTGGGGGCCGGATGAGGCCCCCAGAGGGCTTCTATCAGGCCCGCAGTGGAACTGTCTGTCTTCTGCTGCTTCTTCCAGTTCTGCTGCTGCTGCATCATCGTAGGTTTGCAGCTTACAGACACACACCTGAACAGCATACTCGAGATTGCAGCAGCGCAGACATTTTGATGTAATAATTCAGAGCAAGAGGTGTCAGTTATCAGACATTTTTAAATGAATGAAATATTGCAGGAGTGCTAATGTTTGAAGCATGTTTTTATTTTAAGTAAAAAAAAACACCTTCGTGTTTGTGCCCTTTATAAAGTTTATATCTCCGCTCCCTGGCATTACCTTTTATGGCACACGTGGCCCGGCCTGACAAGGTCTCATATATGTCAGATCCGGCCCTCATAACAAATGACTTCGACACCCCTGCCATGGGGTTTTCAAGTGATGTTCAGAGGTAGCGTGCCATTCCCTGCCCCTTAGTAGCAACCCTGGACTTCCACGGTGGTCTCCCATCCAAGTACTAGCCGGGACCGACCTGATCTCAGGAGATCTCAAGAGATCTCAGGAGATCAGGCTAGCCTGGGCCATCCAGATCAGGGGCATTGGGATGCGGCAGTTTGGCTTTCTTGACAGCTGGTGAGTTGGGGCTTACTCTGACTTTGGGACAAGGTTGAGAAATGTCAAGTTGGCCTGGGTGGGTGATCCTTTTTGAGACGATGCAGGGGGGGATTGTTGTTGGTGCCAGGCCCTGAAGCCAAGGTTGACAATAAATTAGCTGTCTGGTATTGGGCTGAATGGGAAACTGCTGGTACCGCAGCGATCCTGCTTTTGAGGGAGGTGACCAGTTGGCCAGAGGTGTTCATGGATGCTGGGGTGGGTTTTGTGGAGCAGCTTGGCGTGGGGCTCAGGCCAAAGTTCTGGGCAGCCGGGGATCCCCTGACCTGGTCTTCCTTTCCGTTGCAGGCCCTGATGCTTGAAAAACTCCAGAAGCACTCGACACCCCACACCACCTTCCAACCCAACTCCCAGGTGAGAGCTGTCAGTTGTCGGCCGAATGTGGTTGAGTTCTGGGGAGGCAGGAAACTATTCCTTCCTCTCAGCCTGTAGGTCTTGAAAGCCCCGACTTAAAACTGGAACTTGAACCCTGAAGTCCTGGGCTCTTAACTACCCACCTGTATCGCCAAGGGGCAAATGGTTTTTCCATGGTGGGATTCGGAGGCAAGGAACACACGGGGGGGTGAGGAAAACAGATTTTTACTGACGTCTCTCTGGTGTTTCACAGAAAAGAAATCGGCAAGTCATCAGACAGAGAAGATGTTCTTTGTGTCCCTCTTGTTGCTGTGAAACCCCCCCCCCAAAAAAAAATGGTAATGAGGGGAACTAGGCTCAGGCTGAACCACAGAGCATCATTTTGCAGTTGGCAAGATCCAGGGGTCTGGTTGCTATTTGGGGGGTTCCCAGCAACAGAAGGGGGGGTAAGCATGTAGTCTCTGTTTTATGACTTGTTCATTTTTTTGCTGTGAATCACCAGAGAGATTTCAATAAAATCTGTCCGTTTCCGTTACCACTTAAGAACATAAGAGAAGCCATGTTGGATCAGGTCGGTGGCCCATCCAGTCCAACACTCTATGTCACGCAGTGGCCAAAATCCAGGTGTCATCAGGAGGTCCGCCAGCGGGGCCAGAACTCCAGAAGGCCTCCCACCATGCCCCCCCAAGCACCAAGGAGACAGAACAGACACAGTGCCACAGACACAGTGTTCCATCTGTAAAGGTAAAGGTTCCCTTGCTCGAAAGCCAGTCGAATCTGACTCCAGGGTTGTGGTGCTCATCTCCGTTTCAACGCCGAAGAACCAGCGCTGCCCGAAGACGTTTCCGTGGTCGTGGCCGGCAGGACTAAACACCAAGGCACACGGAATGCTGTTACCTTCCCACTGAAGTGGTACCTGTACCTTGTGGCTAATAGCGACTGATGGTCCTCTGCTCCATATGTTTTATCCAATCCCCTCTTGAAGCTGTCTATACTTGTAGCTGCCACCACTTCCTTGTGGCAGTGAATTCCACATGTTAATTACTCTTTGGGTGAAGAAGCACTTCCTTTTATTTATTCTAAACCTGCTCATCAATTTCACTGAGTGCCCACAAGTTCCTGTATTGTGGGAAAGGGAGAAAAGTACTTCTTTCTCTAACTTCTCTGTCCCATGCATAATATTGTAAACCTCTGTCATGTCACCCTTCAGTCGTCGTTTCTCCAAGCTAAAAAGCCCCAAGCGCTTTAACCTTTCTTCATAGGGAAAGTGTTCCATCCCCTTAAGCATTTAGTTGCCCTTTTTTTCACCTTTGCCTCTCAACCAAAGCTCCCTCTAAACTGTGGAATCTTGTGAGCAAAAATTCTGCTTTGTGAGCGACCGGCCTTAAAGCTGTGAGCGAGCGATTTGGCTGCTGCTGGAGCCACATCCTTCCTGAGCGAAGACAAGAATGTGTGAGCCGGAGGCTAAAGAACTGTGAGCTAACTCACACTAACTCAGCTTAGAGGGAATGCTGCTCTCCACCCCCCGTGGGTATGTGTAAAGTACCATCAAGTTGCGGTGGACTTATGGCAACCCTATAGGGGCTTTCAAGACAAGAGACTCACAGAGGTGGCGGCCTTCCTGTGCATAGCGACCCTCGAGTTCCTCGGTGGCCTCCCATCCAAAGACAAATAAAATGAATTTCAATAGAGATAAGTGCAAAGTCTTTCACTTAAGTACAAAAAATCAAAGGCACAGATATAGAATGGGAGGGACTTGGCTTGACAGCAGCACATGTGAAAGGGATGTTCTAGGTGTTCTGGTTGATCACAAGCTAAACATGAGCCTGCAGTGCGATGTGCCTGCAAAGAAGGCGAATGCAATCTGAGGATGCATTGACAGAAGCCTTGTGTCCAGTTCACGGGGGGTGGTAGTTCCGCTCGGTTCTGCTCTGGTCAGGCCTCACCTGGAGTACCGTGTCCAGTTTTGGGCACCACATTTTAGGAAGGATGCTGACAAGCTCGAGCATGTCCAGAAGAGGGCAACCAGGATGGTGAGAGGGTTGGAATCCAAGTCTTATGAGGAAAGGCTGAAAGAGTTGGGCATGTTTAGCCTGGGAAAGAGAAGGCTTAGAGGGGACAGGATTGCAGTCTTCAAGTATCTGAAGGGCTGTCATGTAGAAGATGGAGCGGATCTATTCTCTCTTGCTCCGGATTGCAAGACTAGATCTAATGGGTGGAAATGACAAGGGAGTCGATACCGGCTAAATATCAGGAGAGACTTCCTAACTGTAAGAGGGGTTGAGCAGTGGAACAGACTGCCTCGGGAGGGGGTGGATGCTCCTTCGCTGGATGTTTTCAAGCGGAGGCTGGACGAACATCTTTCGGGTCTGTTGTAGGGCTATCTTTCAGCTACGCTCCTGCAGAGTGCAGGGGGTTGGACTAGATGACCTGCAAGGTCCCTTCCAACTCTTAACGTTCTATGATTCTATGATACTAATCAGGTCTGGCCTGCTTAGCTTCGGAGATCTGATGGGACGGGGCTAGCCTGGGCCATCTAGGACATGGCCTGAACACTTCAGTGAAAAAGTATCATTAGCCGCTTGCCAGTAAAAATCCCCCCCCCCCACTGTACACACGTCCAGACTCTCCCCCTTGAACCAGAAAAACTGTTTGGGAGATTGGGTGCTGGAAAACAGCCTCCCCATTCTAACTTGATAGACATCAGTTGTTTTCGAGGGTGGATTTAAAATTGTGGACTCCGGCCCTTCTCAGGCCTGCTTTCTCATGTCCCAGCAGATTGGCGAGGAGATGAGCCAAAACAGCTTCATCAAACAGTACTTGGAAAAACAGCAAGAGCTGCTCCGGCAGCGCCTGGAACGGGAGGCCCGGGAAGCTGCAGATTCAGAGGGTGAGTATCGCATGCCCAGCATTCACGCAGAACTTTCCTTGTTCAGAGAATGGCGTCTGCATTATCTTGTTTTCAGCCCTTACAACAGCCCTGCGAGGTAGGCAAGTGTTATCCCTATAATGCACCATGGGGAGGAGTGTGAAGCTGAAACTGACCCAGTCTTGGCATTCGGACTTGCCTATAGCCATCTAGTAAAATCTTGGCAGAGGTCTCCCCATTGGCAGCTCATTCTACCGCAGTGTGCCAGCTGCAGACATCACGTGCCCCATTCCATCTTTCACAAATCTGTCTTGGAGAGCCAAAGACTTAAAATGCATTCCTTCGCTTTCCTTGGGCTCTCTTCAGTGACCTAAGAAACATATGTGTTCTGGTCCAGAGGAGTTCAAGTTTGCCCTTTTTTCCTGCAAAAGTAATTCCCTAGAAAAACCCAGATTGCATATCTAAGGACCAATGCTCCCTCTAAGCTGTGGAGTCTTGTGAGCGGAAATTCTACTTTGTGAGCTACTGACATTAAAAGTTGTGGGCGAGCGATTGGGCTGCTGCAGAAATTAGTTTGCTCTGGAGCCGTCCTGAGCTAAGACAAAGATGTGTGAGCCGGAGGCTAAAAAACTGTGAGTTAGCTCACACGAACTCAGCTTTAGAGGGGACACTGCTAAGGACTTGATTCTGCTTTTTTAATCTATTGAAGAGTTTCTGTGAAATTTGGGAAATCGTACCACCTCTAAAACTACTGATTTGTTCACAAGTAAATAATCCATTATTATCAGTATGTTTTCAGATATCTAAGTTCATGGTCTTAGTTTAGTTTTATTATTATTACAGTCTTAAGACCAACATACAGAGTAAGCATAATATGTAAGGGAGAGGGGAAAAATAGTCATAACATACAAAAATAGAAATCTGAATTTAAGAACTTTTAAAATGCAATTCCCGCAATCTAAGAATCAATGCACAAAACTCAGCGACTGAATGTGTAGTTTCTGCATTCTTATCTGATAGGAGCCAGTGAAGCCTTGCTTTGTTTGTGTTAATGTGCCCAGGTGTCCTATCAACTAATGGGGTAATCATTTTAAGACGAGCCTCCCTGTAAAATGGACAGCTGAAGAACATGGGTTCTACCAATTCAGCCTTGCTGAAAAGGCATGGGCATAGTCTTTCCGAGTAGGGGTTTTTGTTGTACCTGCCTTGAATAACTGCAGATGGAAGGGCAGAACATCTAGCTAGGGCCAATGCCCTTGTAGAATTCTTTCCCTCCACTGAAGTCAAATATATTGCCGGCTCAATGGTGCTTTTGATATTTAACAACACCTCGAGTTTGGAAGCCTTAGAGATGTCAGATTGTCGCTCAGTATCCTCAACTCTTTGTTTAATTAGCCCTTTGGCTTGTTCAAATCCAAGGTGAGGCGAGAAGCCAATTCTATGAATATTAGTGAAGTTCATGGTCATTTATGAGAGGGAAAGTGTTTGTTTAGATATTGGTACCAAAATTTCAGGGCTCTTTTTGTAGCAGGAACTCCTTTGCATATTAGGCCGACACACCCCTAATGTAGCCAATCCTCCAAGAGCTTACAGAGCTCTTCTTAAGGGGCTACTGTAAACTCTTGGAGGACTGGCTACATTAGGGGTGTGTCGCCTAATATGCAAAGGAGTTCCTGCTACAAAAAGAGCCCTGCGTACCATGATTTTTCTCTGCGCTGGGACCCAGAGCAGCTTATAATATCATTTCCCCCTCCTCCATTTCATCTTCACAATAAACCTGTGAAGTGGGCCAGGTATATAGAGAGTGACTGGCTTACGGTCACCCAGTGAGCCTCCTTGGCAGAGCTGGAATTTGAACTCTGGTCTCCCAGGTACAAATGCAGACCGTCAATATTAACAGGGGAAAGATACTGTAGAGGTAATAGTGGCTGTTCGTGGACTAAAGAAGAAGAGATTGGATTTATACCCGGCCCTTCACTACCCAAGGGAGTCTCAGAGCGGCTTACAAACTCCTTTCCCTTCCCCTCCCCACAACAGGCACCCTGTGAGGGAGGTGGGGCTGAGAGAGCTCTGACAGAAACCTTTCAAGAACAGCTGTGCCAGAACTATGGGTTGCCCAAGGTCACCCAGCAGGTGGAGGAGTGGGGGAATCAAACCCGGTTCTCCCAGATTAGAGTCCACGCACTTAACCACCACACCAAACTGGCTCTAAAGTACTAAAAAGTATGTTCATTTCAGAATGCAAGAGGGTTTTTTGGGAAATAATACAATTACAATCGGAGGAAGAGACAAAAAGGTAGATGAAAGGAAGCAATACTTAAAAAGGAGAAAATTAGAGGGTCTGGCAAATGACAGATACTTTTGAAAAAGCCCAAAAGAAATTGGTAGAAAATCACTGGGCAAAATTAATTAAATATTTTTTGAAAAGTCTAAAATTCATACTTCAGAAGAAAGTTGTGTATTTATTGTCCCATCTGAACAATTGTGCACCAGCAGTGACCCAGAAGGAAATACTAGTATAATCCCAGATGTGGCTGTGCGGAAAAGTAAATATTTAGTGAGGTAACTTTCAAAAATCAAAATGGAGATCATGAGACATTGTAAGGTTAGATGTGATGTCATTAAAACTGCCTTTATTAATTATGCATTGTGATAAGTGGCATATACAGAAGCTAGTTGGGAGGGTTTTTATTAATTAGATTTTGTATGATGTTTGGGGGGGATTCAGATTGGTGTAGGTTTACTGGAAGTACGTGTGTGGTTGGAAAAAAACAATCGTGAAAATCCCTAAATGGTAAAATAAATTGATTTATGCTTAAACAGTCGGTTCAGTTGGGTTGTGCTGCTTTACTTTTCTTTGCTACGGAATAGCTGTGAGGCCATTCAGAAGTGCTGGAGATAACCTGCTTTTGCTTCTCTTTCTCTTACCAAATTGGTGAAACATGCTAATACGCTTGATACAAGACTGAGAGCTTGGATCTCCCATGTTCTAAGTTGGCATTCTGCTTCATCACACACAAACTGCCTCACTGAAATGGGCGTTCTTAACACAGAACACGAAAGCTGGATTCCAATAAACAGGGGGAAGGTATTTCAGGGGCGGAAATCTCTGTGCCTCTTGACACGCACCTAGTTCAGAAGAATGTGCTCACTTGTGCCCCTGGGGGAAGAGCGAGGTGGGTCTACAGAACACTGGAGAAGTTTCAGGTGGTGTGTGGCAGCAGGCAAGGTTTAAAATACTACCCTGTCAGTATAAATTGTTCCTCTTTTGTAGTTAACACGGGTGGGGATCTGCACATTTTACAGAGGATCGACATTTGCCTACGATAGTTTTGATTACCGTGTGCACCACGATCAGTTCAGCCTGCGCGCACACACACAATGCCATCCCAAACAGGGTTGTGCCTCTCTAAGACCATTGCGCCTTTCTAAGACTTAGAATGTTGTAGCGCAGCTTTTGGTGGCACTAATAGGAGAAGATGGGCATTAGAGATGTGAAAGACTAATTCCAGAACAATCCAGGGTGGTGGTGCCCCCCCTCCCGGGGAACTCTTTCTAATGGAGAAACGGAAATTTGGGGGTGGGGGGGAACTGATCCCCCCCTTTTTTTAGAATGAGTGAAATGCTTTTTAAAGGCAAAGTTTTACTCACTTGGGCTGTGGTGGCTCAAGTGGTTAAGACCCAGAACTGCAGACCGGAAGGTCAGTAGTTCAGGAGTTCGAGACCTGAGTGCCGCATGACAGAGTGAGATCCCATCTCTGGCCCCAGCTCCTACCAACCTAGCCATTCAAAAACAAGAAATTGCAAGTAGATAAATAGGTACCGCTTCGGTGGGAAGGTAACAGCGTTCCGTGCGCCTTGGCGTTTAGTCATGCCGGCCACATGACCATGGAAACGTCTTCGGACAGCGCTGGCTCTTCGGCTTGGAAACGGAGATGAGCACCGCATCCCTAGAGTTGGATTTGACTGGCTTTCGAACGAGGGAAACCTTTACCGTTATAATTTTTTAATCTGTGTGCCCATGCCTGGAAGTCATGGCGACCTCTGGCGACTCCTACTGGGGCATGGAGGACATTCAGAGAAGTGGCTTGATAGCCTGCCTCTGCCTCCCAGCCCTGGTATTCTTTGGGGGCCTCCCATCTATATACGTTCCAGGGTCGGCCCTGGAACGCATCCGAGATCTGACGAGATCAGCCTGGGCTATCCAAGTCAGGGCCTCCCTTACATTATTTACTAAATTTATACCCCTTCTTTCTCCCCAATGGGGACCCAGCGCAGCTTACATTGTTCTCTTCTGTTTCATCTTCACAACACTCCTGTAAGGTCGGTTAAGCCGAGTGTGTGTGTGACTGGCCAAAGGTCACCCCGGCAGCTTCTGTGAGAGAGTGGGGATTCGAACCTGATACCGTGACCACTATACCATGCCAGCTCAGTCTAAAACACACAGCATGATCATTTTCACGTAGCACGGTCTACAGCGTTAGATAATTCTGATGTCTACTTTAGCCGTATTTTCAAGGCTAAGCTTATTTCAGTGTTAGCAACACTGGCAGCAGTTAGCATGCTAGCCTCTAATGAGTCTGATAATAAATTATTAAAGAGTGTTTTTCAGTGTTACAAAGTTGACCTTGATATCCACGTATGCTGGTAGTCTTACATATTGTGTAAACGCATGAGACAGTTTTCTCCAAAAGAATATACTTTTCTTTGCTGCAGAATTTGCTTTCTTATTTCGGCTTCTGTTTCTCCTACCTCTCGTATGCTTCAGGTCCCAGAAGGTACAGCCGTTTGCAGCACGCTTTCTCTCTAGTATTGGCTCTATTTGTAATTTTCCTCCTGGAAAATTAAGGCATTGATACTTTTACATAAATATGCCGGTTGTTATGATTTTGTACGCTAAGTTTTATAGTAAAGCATCAATGGAAGTTTAGGCTTGATATTGTTGTATATATCCTTTTTGTGTATTGTGTATATCTCTGTTTTTCTCAGTTTCCGTTTGTTTTTTTCCTGGAGGTGAGGGGAAAAGACTCCAACATTTCTGGAAACGTCATGGCTGTAAAATAATAATTAAGTGCTGTCAAGTCATAACCAACCTATGGCAATCTGCTAAGGGGGTTTTCAAGGCAAAGGTGGTTTGCGATCGTCTTCCCCTGCGTAGCAACCCTGGTCTTCCTTGGTGGCCTCCTGTCTCAAGTGTTAAGCATTTCGGGCAGAAGCTCGGTTTAATGGGATGCTTTAAAAAAATGATCACGTTGTAAATGTTTTCTCGCATACACACAAGTATACATACTGAGCAACCTAAGAAACACTCACCTCGCAGTATCGGTCAGATCTCCAGTGGCCAATCAGACGGTCTGTTGGCCTCGCCCCTTTCTAGAAACACTTGGCATGCACCAGGAAAGATCTCAACAGGCGCCATAGCAAACATGGGCACCGCATTGGGAACGCCTGGCTTATTCCACTGGACGTTTTGTTGGTCTTTAAGCTGCTGTTGGACTCACATCTTGCTCTTCTGTTCACCCAGGTTTTTAGCTACAACACTATCCCATCTCGTCTTGCTTTATCAATCCTGCCCTGCCCGCTGATGGCTTTTATGGGCCTCCCTTTATGCTCACGACCGTTTTATACTGCTGGTTTTAGCATGTAGTTGGTTTTACTGTGGGGGAAATGAGTTTTCTTGATTGTCGTATTGATTTACTGTTTGAGACGTGTGATCCGTTTACTGCTTGCAACTGTTTGATCCGGTCCCTGGAGAGGTGGGTTATGAAAGGACAAAATAAATGGGGGGGGGAGAGGAACAGAACCAATCCAATTTACATTGACGGGGAGCAGATGGGTTTAGAGCCTCTTTGCTTTCATCCAAAAAGCAGGCCCAGTTTGGTCACTTAGGCCCAGTGGCTGCCTTCCCTTTTTCCTCTGGGGACTCATTTCTGGTCTAGCCTGCTGATCGGTTTCCTGTTCCTTTGCTAGGCAAGGGATGCGTCGTGTCCCGGGAGAGGGGAGAGTCTGACGAAGAAGGAGCCCGAAGACCAGAGCAGCATCCTTCCCGGGTTAGACAGGTAAATGGCCCTCTGGGGTGGGAGGGGGAGGCCTTGCAAGGCAGAGGAGCACAGGTATGGCTTTGCCACCAGTACAGGTGGTTGGTTGGTGGGGAGCCCCCATGGACTCATTCTCCTCTCTTTCCCGCTCAGGCCAGAGCCGTTAAAGCCCCCGGAGGTACCCACAACCTGGGCAGCGAAGAGCGGGAAACATCTCTTAGGAGTCGGAGGGCTGTCCAGCGGGTGCCCGTGAAAGACGAAGAAGAGGACGAGGAGGAAGAGGAGGAGGAAGAGGAGGACGATGAGGAGGAGGAAGAGGAAGAAGAGGACTCCGCGCCTCTGCTGAAGGGGCAGGCCGAGCCGGAAAGGGCGGCTCTCCCAGAGCGGAGCCTGGGCCAGGCTTCCACACCCGTCGCTCCAGAGGCCCCGCTGAAAGAGCCTCAGACCCTAGAGGCCCAGGGCTGTGAAGCAGCCGTGCCACTCCCCTCCCTCTCCAAGAGTCCGGTGGAGAAGCAGGTCGGGCCCGCGGCGCCGGAATGCAGGGAAGAGGAGCAGGTCACTCTCCTCCCAGAACCCCAGGAGGGCAAGGAGGGCCCTGGGCCGCCAGAGGAAAAGGAACCTGTTGAAGCCATAGAATCGGAAGCTGCAGCCGAGCCACCAGAAGTCCACGAGGAGAGACCGGCAGAAGCAGCCAAAAAAAAAGAGGGGCAAGGGGTGGCCGAGATCCGTGGGACACCCGAGGAGGTGGCAGAGGCAAGTCGGGGGGAGGAGAGTGCTGGTCCTCTGCAGCCCCACCCAGAGGTGGAGGAGCCCCTAAGGCCGGAAGACCAGGAGGAAGCCGCAGAGGCCCTGAGGACGCTGGAGGAGGCGGCGGCCGCGGCAGCCGCAATAGTCCAGGTGTCCCCGTCACCTCCCCAGCTGATGGAAGCGCAGCACCCCCAGCAAGACCACGCCGCAGACGAGCCCCCTCCTCCCATCTTGACCATGGAAGCCCCGCCGGGATCCAGCCCCGCCGAAGACGAGGCCCCCCCTCAGCTCTCTCGGCCGTCTCCCCCCTCTCAGGAACTCCCAGCCCCAGCCAGCCCCAGCATCCCGGGGGACCAGGCCGGCCGCTCGCCCTCCCCCTTGCCGCTCCCGCAGCACCACCACCGCCAGAGGCCAGGGGGCGACAGCTCCTCCCGCTCCTCCTCCTCCTCGGCATCCAGCTCCTCCCGGTCCCGCTCTCACTCCCGGGGCAGTTCGCAGCCACGGTCCCGCACCAGAAGACCCCGCTCGGGCTCCTCCGAGTCGCCTCCAAGGAAACGGCGGGCCTCGAGATCCCGCTCCGGCTCTGAGTGCCACACGAGTTCCTGCTCCAAGTCTCGCTCTAGATCCCGTTCTAGGTCCCGCTCCAGCAGCGAGAGCAGCAGGAAGGTGAGCCAGAGCCTAGGGCACCCTGCTCCTGTCGGAGCTCGGCAGCAGCGGAGGTGGTTTTAGTCCGGCAGCGCTCCGGACTCCGGAGCCAGACAGCTGGGCCGGTTTAGCGGGGCAAGGTCGGTTCTAGCTGAATCGTCCCATTTCCAAAAGTAGCATCGGTCATCCTGGCGGAGGAGGTTGACGAGCCGGGGACTTCTCTGTTTAGAAAAGAGACAACTAAGAGGGGAGCGTGATAGAGCTTTATAAAATTATGCATGGGTTGGAGAGAGCTGACAAAGAGAACTTTTCTCTCCCAAAATACTAGAACTCGAGAGTACCCAATGAAGGTGAAGGGCAGTAGATTCAGGATGGACAAAAGGCAATAGTTCTTTCAGCAGCAAGTGACTAAAATGTGAAATTCACTGCCAGAGCATGTAGTGATGGCCGCAGGCATAGATGGATTTAAAAGGGGATTAGACCGATCCAAGGAGGACAGGTCTATCAGTGGCTATTTCCCATGGTGACTAACAATGTTCCCTCTACGCTGCGGAGTCTTGTGAGAAAAAATTCTACTTGGTGAGCTCCTGGCATTAAAGTTGTCAGGAAGTGATTTGGCTGCGGCATAAATCAGTTTGCTCTGGAGCCCTCCCTTCCTGAGCAAAGACAAAAATGTGAGCGAGCGATTTGGCGGCCGCTGGAGCCACATCCTTCCCGAGCGAAGGCAAAAATGTGTGAGCCGGAGGCTTAACAACCTGTGAGCTAGCTCACACTAACTCAGCTTAGAGGGAACACTGGTGACTAAAGGGGAACCTCCACATTCAGAGGCAGTCAACCTGTGAATCCCAGTAGCAGGAGGTAACATCAGGGAAAGGCCTTCGCCTTTATGCCTTGTTGTCGGACCTCCAGAGGAACTGCTTGGCCACACTGTGTGAGACGCTGGACTAGACGGACCACTGCTCTGACCCAGCAGGGCTGTTCTTACGTTCTTAAGGCAGATGTCTAGAAAATGGACGACACCAAACCTGATGAGGAGTATTTCTAGTAACACCCCAAGGCAATCCAGTAGTGCCCTGTAGCCGTTGCTTCTGTGTTGCACCTGTCTGTCTATCCATCTCTTAAGTAGAGGAGCAGACAGACCACCCTTTCCTGGCTTTCTCCTAGCCTTTTTGCCAGTGAGGGGACTACAATAGCTGCCACTTCAGCAGTGCCCCTCGTTCTCCGTGACGGGCACTACTTTGGCAGCCGCCTATCCCAGGATCCCCTCTGTCAATAAATAGAAATAAATAAATCTAACTGAAGGAGCCAATTTAGAGTCCAGTGGCACATTTTAGACTGGCAAAGTTTTATTCAGGGTATGAGCTTTTTGTGTGCACACATCTTGCATAAAACTTTGTTGGTCTTAAAGGCGCCACTGGACTCCTAGATTTGTTCTACTGCTTCAGACCAACATGGCTGACCCCCTGGATCTATCTTTGTGAAGAGATCAAGTTCGAACGGCGCGACGCTAATAATAGGGTTTTCTGACCCATCTGGACTACAGATGTCTTCAGATGAGTCAGAAAACCCTATTATTAGCGTCGCGCCATTCGGGCTGGGTTTCTTCAGTTAGGTTTATTTGTTTTTATTTATTTACTTGATTTGTACCCCCACCTTACTCACAACATCCCTGTGAGGTAGGTTAGGCTGAGAGAGCGTGACTGGCCAAAGCTCACGCGGCAAGCTTCCATGGCAGGAGCGGAGATTCGAACCCGAATCTCCCAGATCCTAGTTCAACACTTTAACCACTACACTCAGCTGGCGCTCTGTGCTAGGACTTGGTCCTCCTTGGAACTGCCGGGGAAGAGAACGGCCTGTTCATTTCAAGCACAGGGCACGCAAGGCGCACCTTCTGTCTCTAGGGAGGTGGCTTCTCAAAACCAAAGGGTGTGGCCAGCAGCAAGCAGGCTGATCCGTGGGAGACTCGGGTGGGGAAGGAAACCCGGCCAATGCGAGGCCGCCAAGCCTCAGATGTGTTCTGACTGCCTCGGGCCATGCTTTTCAACCCCCTGGCATGCGGAAGCCAGGAACAAATGGAAAATTCTTTACACACGCACACACACGCTCATTTTAAGCACAAACGCAGGTGGGATTTAACCTCCGGTTTCAAACCAGAACGGTTTGAAGGGGAGGAAGGCGCCTTCTTGGCCGATATGGGCTGTGGCAGAGCCTCTGCTTGGCACACAGGAGGTCCTGGGTTCGATCCCCGGCATCTCCAGCTAAAAGGACCAGGCAGGAGGTGATGGGAAAGACCTCCGCCTGAGACCCTGGAGAGCCGCTGCCAGTCTGAGTAGACGGACCAAGGGTCTGATTGGGGGCAAGGCCGTTTCACGTGCTTTCGTCTGCTTTCGTGTGGATCTTGGACTTCTTATGCCGCTTTGAGGAAGTCCTTCCTTAAGACACCCTGTCCACTCACGCATCCTTCTTGATGCCCCATTCCCCTTTGGAACCAGAGGCCTCCTGCTAGAACTGCAGGGGCTGCCAACCTCCAGGCAGGGCCTGGGGATCTCCTGGGATTACAGCTCCTCTCCAGACGTACAGAGATTAGTTCCCCACGAGAAAATAGCAACAAACAAATAGGGAAATTACACAGTAAAAGGATCACCAAAACAAAACAACTGTGTCATGAGATCATAATCTCAAATGAGAAGAACCAATGGTCATCACAGCGTTTATACAGAATGTCGCACAAGACTGAAACCTTAACAAAGGTAATAAACAGAATTACAATTTAGGAATGACATCCAGTCCAAACAATGAATACAGGTAAGTAGAAATGACATGAAAAATAAGTCCAAAAGGATCAATGCTTCCAACAAGAAGAATATTTCAAACGCGATGTCTTCGCTGACTGCTTCCCGACCTGCTTCAGGCGTTTGCCGGCTTCAGGGTCGCGTATCGCTTACAGCTTTGTCAAAGCAGAACCGAGAGTCAATTTTCTTATGGACACTATAGATGTATTGGGGAACTCCGTCTCCCATACTAACTAGTCGAGGTAAAAGCTGTAAGCGATATGCGATCTTGAAGCCGGCAAACGCCTGAAGCTGTGGAGACATCGTGCTTGAAATAGTCTTCTTGTGGGAAGCATTGATCCTTCTGGACTTATTTTTCATGTCATTTCTACTTACCTGTATTCATCGTTCGGACTGGATGTCATTCCTAAATTGTAATTCTGCTTATTACCTTTGTTAAGATTTCAGTCTTGTGCGACATTCTGAATAAATGCTGTCATGGTCGTGGATTCTTGTCACTTGAGATTATGATCTCATTACACCGTTGTTTGGTTTTGATGACCCCCGTGAGAAAACGGCTGCTCTGAAGGACTGACTTCATGGTATACCCAGCCAAGGTCCCTTACCTTCCCAAATCTCCAGGAATTTCCCCACCTGGACTTGGTGGCCCTACTCCCGTGGCACGGGAAAGAATTCTGTTCCCAATTCCTGAGCTAGGATGCGCAAGAGCAGGGCCTCTCAACGCTTCTGTCTCTCTGCTTTCAGTCCCGGAGCCCCGAAGCTTCGAGGGACAGCGCCAGCTACCCTCCCACCAAAGAGCCCTCCCCGCCAGGGGAGAGCCCCCCGGCCCACCAGGACGCGTCGTCAAGTCCCAGGGAAGAGGGAAGGAGAACCCCTTCCCCACCTCTGGACCCTCAGAGACACCCCAGCCATACCCAGGAGCACGAAGCGGAGTTGGAGAGCACAGTGCCGGAACGAGTACGAAGCGGACGGGATCGGACGGGAGGGTCTTCCCTGTAGGGGTGCCAGCTCCACTGCGGCTTAGCTTTGGGGGGGGAGGCACACGCACAGGGGGTTGGGAGACCTTGAGGCCTCAGACCCCCCCCCCGTCCCCTTCCCGCTAAACCCACCCTTTTCCCGCAGGACCACTCAGAGTCCTCCTTTTCCACGGAGGCTCCGGGCCTAGACAGCAGGGCTCCTGTCTCAGAGCCACAGGATCCACCGGAGGGGCAGCACAGCAAAAAGTAAGTATCGGTAGCCCAGCAGAGAACCGGAGCGGGGAGCGGGCAAGGCCCGCGTGAAGCTCGACACCCCGGCCCATTTGCAGCCCAGAGGCCTAGGAAGGGGACCATCCGGGCGGATCTGAACCAAACCCACAGGGGAGGAGAGACCGCAGGGGCTCGCCTGGTCCACGTCGGAGTTCCAGAATCTCGTTAGCAGTGCGGCTGGGTCCACGACCGCACAAGTTAAAGGGGAGCTTCCGATCACTAGCAGAGTGCTTTTCCGCTAAATAATAAGGTCATCTGGGCTTGGGGTCAGTAAAAGGGTCGGTTTCCAGGCAGCTTTGAGCTCTGGGGTACCTCTTGATTTTGTAGTTAAGGACTGATGGGCCCGGAGTGATTGTTTTGGCCTTGAGGGTAGTTTCCAAAGGTCACTGTGTCGGTCTGCAGTAGGACAGCTAGATTCAAGTCCAGTTAGCACCAGTTTGGTGTAGAGGTGAAGTGTGCGGACTCTAGCTTGGGAGAACCGGGTTGGATTCTCCACTCCTCCACTCGCAGCTGCTGGATGACCTTGGGCGAGCCATAGTTCTGTCAGAGCTGTTCTTGAAAGAGCAGTTCTCTCAGAGCTCTCTTGGCCCCACCTGCCTCACAGGGTGTCTGTTGTGGGGAGGGGAAGGGAGAGGAGTTTGTAAGCCGCTCTGAGACTCCCGAGTGAAGGGCAGGGTATAAATCCAATCTCCTCCTCCTCCTTAGAGCCAGTTTGGTGTAGTGGTTAGGAGTGGCGGACTTTAATCTGGGAGAAGAAGAAGAGATTGGATTTATACCCTGCTCTTCACTTGGAACTGGGTTTGATTCCCCACTCCTCCATGTGCAGATAGCTGGATGACCTTGGGTCAGTCACGGGTTCTCTCGGAGCTGATCTCTCAAGGAGAGCTCCCCACCTACCTCACAGGGTGTCTGTTGTGGGGAGGGGAGGGGAAAGGAGATTGTAAAGCCGCCCAGACACTCCGAGTGAAGGACAGGATATAAATCCAGTCTCCTTTTCTTCTTCGAGACCAATGGGATTTTTCAGGGTATGGGTTTTTGAGAGTATCTGATGTCCCCCTCGAAAGCTCATGCCCTGAGAATCGTGTTGGTCTGTTTCTGCCTTATTTAGGTGTTTTGTAGAACTTCTCCCGAGCAGCCCTTTCAATTTCCAGTATGATCTGGAGCTTCTGTCCAAAACCAGAGCCTGTTCTGGGCAGAGGCCTCTTTTAACAGTGAGGCTGTTTCCTCCTTGCCCCCTGCTTCCCCGGTGTGGGGGAAGGAGTGGGATCCGGGGTAGCCCCCTTGCTCCCCCGTGGGTGGGTGGGGGGCACATGACGATCCCAGCTCCCCCCACCTATAACTGCTGTCAAGACCAGCGATCCGGAGCAGTGGCAGCCGGGCCCGAGTGCTTCGAGGCCTGGGTGTGCCCAGGCGGGCTTGCTGAATGGAATCGCTCTCCTGCTTGAAAACATGCCGGGGGGGGGACAGTTTCCAGCAGCCTGAATGCGAGATGCCCGTAGCAGAGGCGCGGACCCCACTGCGGCTTCGGGACTGTCCGGCTTGGCCCGGCAGCGCCGGGTCACTTTAAAAAAAAAAAAAAGGTTGGGGGGGAAGGGCGAAGCGCCGCAGCCGCCGTCCCGGGGGTGGGGGTCTGGT